TGCATGGTGGACCAAATTTGTATCAGTTTTGACAGGTTATCAGGTTTGAAGGGTAAAATTACTATATTTAATTAAGAAATGGTGGATCAATTTTTTATCAGTTTTGACAGGTTATCAGTTTTGACAGGTTATACTGTAATAAAATAATCAAAATTTCAGCATCAGCTGCGACAATCATTGTGCATGTTGAGCACTCCCTCTACATATAACAAGGTTCCTCACGCAAGTTTACCCTAATTCTAATTATAATAACAAATAATTAGGAGATAGTATCAAAATTCAATTATTAACGTCATCACCTGTTATGCTTTACTCTTCATATATTTAACAGTAATAAACCGGGTTTTGACAGATTTTCAAACCAATTAACATAAAGAATTAAATAATTGAAAAATTGTTTAAAATTAATTCGGTAATTTAAATTCAAAAAATGTATATACATACAATACAATTTCTATTTATTATTTAACTCTAAAATTCTCAATTACGTCAAGTTTAAGAATTCAAGTAATTGAAAAATTGTTAATTCGGTAATTTAAATTCACAATTTCTATTTATTATTAAATTCTAAAATTCTCAATTACGTCAAGTTTAAGTAATTAGTAATACAAAATAAAATTATTTAAATTAAGTATTTCAATTAACCAGTTTAATATTTAAAAATTTTAATTTTTAAATTCTATTTAACCAAGCAATTCGCTTAATACTTTCAAATTTGTTTTTTTTTTAAAAAAATAAATGATGAATATCCAAAAAATGGAAAACATGTTATTCGATCACGAAATCAAAAATGAAAGCTTTATTCCTTTTATTTTATTTTTGATTGAAGTGCGTGACATTGTTTTAGCCAAATTTTCAAACTTAAGCAATAAGGAAATTTCAAATTATATTTTTAAATTATGGATGCAATTACCTGAAGGTTCAAAAGCAAAATATAAAAAGATGATAACTGATATGAGAAAAAATCCAGATATTTCAAGTGTTTTACCTGCACAAAAAAAAAGAAAATTTTCTGATAATTTTTGTCCACACCCACAATATTTAGTACAAAATAGTAATTTAATAAGAACGATCCTTTCTTGCACTCTTCCTCTTTCAATTGTTAAAAATAATGAATTTAGACAATTTTGTAGTTCACTTGATTCAAGATTTACACTTCCCAATTGTGATAGTATAAGAGCCTCAATTATTAATGCTTATAATCAAATGAACAAACTCATTCAAAATAAGATAGTAGAAACTGCCCAGTTTGTGGCACTTTCTGTAGATTTTTGGTCACACTCTTATATTGGAGTAACTTGTCATTGGATTACACATGATTTCAAATTAATCGATGTCATTCTTGAAGTAATGAAGATTCCAGAAGATCATGTTGCAACGGAATTTTTTGAAAAATTCCAACTTCTATTATCTAAACTCGGATTAGTTCATGAAAATATTGTTAGTATTACTAGTGACAATAATAATGTAAAAACAGCTTTGTCACAAATGCAAATTGAAATTATTCCATGTTTAGCAAATATTTTACGAGTAAGCGTTGAAGCGGGATTGCAATGTGCTAATGACATTTTAAACAAGTCAAAAAAGTTATGTGAAATTTTAAACAATGATACGAATCGCCGAAAATTAATAGACATTCAACAGCAAATTGATCTAAGAATTAAAGAGTCATTAGACGTTATAGATATTGGAGAAGATTGGTATTCGACTTATCAAGCCATTCGACATCTAGTAATGTTACAGAACTCAATTCAACATTTTAGCAGAGAAAATGAAAAGCTAAAAGAACATATGCTTTCTGATTA